CTGTTTCCTCCCCTGATATAGGCAGCGTGCTCTGCGGCATGCTCTCTGGATGGCCTCTTCTGACTTTACCTGGGCTCTCAACTTCTACTGAAATATTCTACATGACTTCTTTATTCTGTGTTCCCCTTTCCTGACCAGGAGTTCTCTTGAATACACTCAATCCCTGTTATCTTTCACTTCCTCTGGATTCAGGTGAGTTCATACCCAGACAGCAAATAGTGACATTGCAGCCTGCACCCACTTTAACTACTCCTTACTCTCATCAAGGCAATTTCTGCCAGCTTCCCACCATCAAACTGTAACAGGGTGATCCCCAGGAAAGGGGGAGTTTCCAGGTTCCCTGCCCCACCCAAGGGAGGGTGAAGCTGAGCAGGAAGAGAAGAAGCTGCAGAGGAGACTGAGGAAGGAAGCAGGATGGAGCCAGAGGGAGACCTGGAGGAGGCACGTGGAGCCTAGAGACACGTGAAGAAACTGCGCTTGTCTTTTGGTCGTGGACTGGGTGACACAGATGTGGGTGAGACCCGTGGGGAGGTGACAATGGCAGCTTTTATCTTGATGTTGATTTTGCTCTTTTCCTTCCGGGCTTGTCTGGTTGTTTCTGACCCTTTTCTGTGGGTCCCCACTGGAAGATGCTTTGGACTTGGGGCAGGTTTTGGGGCCTTGCTCTGGGCCAATCCCATTTGGATGGAGTTTTACCCACAAGGGGACGGTAACTTTGGGTGCTTGATTTAGAAATTAGATTCTTTGCCTTTCCTGTATTGTTTCCAAATTGTATTAAAGTTCCTTCCCATTAAAGTTTCATATGTTTTGTGTTGATGCGGCGGATGGCAGAACCCATTTACAACAGGCAGGTTTGTGGGGTTTGGGCTGCCCCTCTCCCTGCCCTGTAACAAAACCACTCTAAGCAACAAACCACTCTATGCCCTCTACAATAGGAGACTTAGGGCAGAGTCTTCCAAGAACCATCCTTTTCTCCATGAGCCCCAAATCTACAAGTTTTCACAATTGAACAAGTAGAGACAGGGAGAGAGACTCTGTCCACGTCCAGCCAGCAGCACTCAGTGTCTCCCAGGGGACCTTGAGTTTCCCCTCTCCTTGGGGTGTGGGGTGAGAAAGAAGGTGCCTTAAAACTTTCTTCCTCCACAACATCCTTGAAAGATTTTGCCTCTGTAATCAGTTATTAGCTTTTCCCCATATGGGCTGTTGATAATTTTCCCTGAACTTGGGAAGCCCTATTGGGTGTGTCTAAGGACTCTCATTGGATAGCAGGACTTCTCATCACCTATTAATCTGGGTTAAAATTGTGAGATCACATTAAAAAAAATGTCTCTATAGTAGTAATAGTAATATTTTATTCCTCTCTTAAAATAGCAATATTCTTTTAGTATTAACAATATTATTCATAACACTGGGTAAGTTTTTATATGTTCACAAAATTGATTATTCAAAAGTAAGTTTTGATCCATGCAAACTCCATAATTTCTAATTAACTAGAGGAAAAAAATCCCATCATATACAAGGTGAGAGAAAAAGGACAAATTAAAACAAAATATCTTCAGCTTATATCACACCCAATGACTAGTATATAAGAACTTTTTCTTTTCAATTAAGGAAAAGGTCAGTATCTCAATTTTTTTAAAAAGGATAATGTTTATGAACTCACAGTAACAGGAAAGGAAATGCAAATATCTTAAGCACATGAAAAGATACTTGTTCTAATTTTAAAAGAAGTACAAATTAAGACCACAACGAGAAAATATTTTTTGAACTGTCTTATTAAAAGAGATCAAAACCATTTAATGGAAAATTGGTGAAGGCAGCCTCAGACCACAGCAGGCAATGGTAGCTAAGTTAGGCCACAACCTTACAGCAGTTCTCACATCCACCACAAAACCTAGAACGTGCACCCTGAGGTCACTGACATTATTGTGATATGACCAAAGATGTGGCCTTATTGAGACTCAAATATTTTCGTAGGGGGCAAATAAAGAAACAGCAACTTTTGAGAGCAGATTTCGAATAGTGATGGGAGAAGAAGCAACATTACATAAGGTGATCCAAACACAAATGACAGTACAGTTACAGTGTGAGTGTCCATCTACACAGCAACTGAGCCAAATAACCCTCTACTTGAGGCTGAGCTCTGCAGAAGCCCCAGCTCTGCAGAGTGAAGATCTTATAGCACCGTCAAGACCAAATAACTTCTCATCATTCTAGCTCAACAATTTGGTTGGGGGGGCCAGAATGGTACCTTTTTGCCTGTATTATTGTTGTTTTATATACTTAAAACATAAAAACATTCTCATTTTGAAAAGTTCCACAGAATAAAAGAAAGCAAAAAATGGTTATTTCTACCATCATTCAATGGTAGAGATGAGAAAATTTGTTGATGTGACTTTAAAAAAGAAAGCAATTACAGAGTCCTTGAGTTTGGAATCTGAAAAACTGAGTGAATAGTAGTGCCATTTCCGGAGATGGGGAAGATTTAGGAGTAGGAGTATCTAAGAGAATAGCCATCCCCGTCATTGCTTGTGATGGTGGGGAAATAAAGGCAAGTGAGGAGTCCATCATTAAAAGAATGAACACATAGAATGGAAATTATAGCAACAGTTGGTGAATTACATGTATGGAGTACAAATTAGATAAATGCCAAAATCACAATGCTAGTAGAAAAAGTAAAAGTAAGTTATTTTAAAAAACCTTTAATTAAACATGAAAAGATGAAAACTGTTTTATAGGCTATAAACAAGTTCAAAGAATATGTCAAATATCAAAGCATGTTATATGGAGGAAAGATGAATGGAAGTGGGGATTCAGGAATAAGGAAAAGGCAAACAGAATGTGAGAGAGACATATATGGATTGACAAAGATGGTGACCCAGAGTCCAAGTTTTTGCCTTATTATACAATCTCATCATTTTCACTTTTCCTACTTAGCTCTCAGATACTGTTTGCACAACAGAGGAGCACCCCAAAACCCCCAAATTTGCACACCCCAAAACTCCCAAATTTGCACATTCAGTGCACACCAAGACAAAGCAAAATCTTCGTGTAGTGTGCATAGAGAGATAAGGAAGGATAATAGTTTTCCAATAAAACACCCAAAGTTACCCACTCCTTTGTGGGTAAATGCCCAGCCAGACAGGGCTGGCCCATAGTGGGGCAGCTAAAGCCCAAAAGCTTGCCTCAAGTCTAAGGGACCATAGAATAGAGGTGATGCGCCAGGCAAGTCCGGGATGAAAAGAGCAAAATCAGAGTACAAATCAAGGCAATAGCTGCTATTGTCAGCCTCCCCAGAGGTCTCACCCACGTATGTCTTTCAGGTGTCTCTGCATGTCAACTCCACGTGTTCCTCCAAGTCCCCCAAGTACCTGGGGCAAATCCAAAGCCAAGAAGTAAGTGAGCCCTTCTTCTCCACCTGCCGCTCTTCTTTTTTTTCTCCATGAGTTTCCTGTTTTCTGTCACTTCACCTGGCCACTCAGCTCCACCCCTCACTGAATGGGGGCGGGGAACATGGTAAATTCCTTCACAATACCACATGGCTGTGACCGCTACTAGGTTTTTCCCTCTCTGGATTGTCTTCATGCTTATTTTGTTAGTGCTATTTTGTTATCTATAATAAATGTCCTTTTCAACTTCTGCATGTCCTTAGTGTCCAACGTTATCAGAGGGACCGGCTGTGGACTACAAGTGCTGGTAGAAAAGTGTCAGTTCTAAAGTTTTATGAAATTTAATTTCACGAGACAAGGTAAAAGAATTCAGTCAATAACTCACCCTTGTCCTGATAAATAAGCCTAAGGAATAAATAAATGACTAGGAAATAAGCTCTTTCTAATGTGATCATCCTTAAAGGAGAAAAAGCAGTGACGAACTAAACCAATTCTGATGACACGTGGTAAAAATTCTTTCAAGAATCCTGCCCCCTTGTTTCAGAGGAGAGCTGCATACACCCTGCCTGTGGAGGGCAGGGTGCCCTCCTTGGTTGCCCTTTGAGAGTGTTGGGCCTCCCTGGTGGTGCAAGGGGTTTAAGTCTCAGCACTATCAAGCTGTTGCCAGCCACAGCAGCATGAGTTCGATCCCCGGCTAGAAAGCTAACCCACATGGTGTAGCAGACCTCTGCTGTCTCGCCTGCTGCTCCCCTCAGTAGTATATTTTGGTCAATCCACCTGTTCTGCTCCCCACTCTATCTCTGGTGAATCTTCTGGTCACCCTCCTGCCCCTCTGGTCTGCACCCCAGCTCTTGTATGCATAAATAAATAAATATTTTTTAAAATAATAATAAAATCCAGGTTTTTTAAAAAAAAAAAAAAAAAGTAAATGAGAGTGTAGCACCCAGGCTGTCACCCAAAGGGAATCACTGTCCTTCCAATCTAACCAGTGGGAGTCACTATGATCACATTCACAAATAAGACTCACCTGGGCCCAGAACCAAAAGTAAGAGATCATGGAAGACGGGAGATGCTTCTACTTCTTCCTTCCTATTCAATGCTCATTTGGTGGGGAAGGGAGATTAGGACATACTGTTTCTTTGCTTGATGCTGCTAATTAATTTCTGCACTAACAACAGCTATAAATGATTTTTGATTGCTGAGTAATATTCCAGTGTGTGTGTGTGTGTGTGTGTGTGTGTGTGTATACACACCACATCAGTGAAATAAACCAGAAGGAAAAAGAAAAATACCGGATGGTTTCACTTATAGTAGGAATATAGGGGAACCAAATAAGACATCAGTGTAAAAAAAATAATAGCAATACAAAACCCAACAAAACAAAAACAGACAATTATAAACCAGAGACATCCTGCAGGGGAGGGGGCGGGAGAGGGATCAGAGGGAGGGAGGGAGGAGCACAGGGGACTGCGGTGATGATGCACAGGTGCATTGGTGAAGGAAACTCTGGGAACTACACCTGGCAGGGGAAGCAAATATTATTTAAAAAGGAACAGTGATGTAAAAATTAAATAATTAAAAAATAAAAGACTCGAAGTTAAAAAACAGCTATAATACGATTTTTTAATTCTTTTCTTTTACCCATCTATTTAATACTCATTTATTTTAGGTGTTTGGAATACAATGATAGATAAAATACAGTCCATGTTCCTAAAAAATGATGAAAGAGAAAGGCAAGTTAACAGATTAGAACCAGTATCATAATGATACAGAAGCGTGGTCTCCATTAATCCCTTTAAACAGTGCCTTCCCTCCTTAGCTATATCCAAATACTACTAAGAGAAATAATAATGTTTCTTTTATTTTTGAGGCTTCACTAGCTAAAGCAATTTGGGGAGCAAACACATAAACTGCTTCTGTCAATTTCCCTCTAAAAAAGCCTTCTCAGACCACTGAAATGAACATGCAGTTCACATATTTAAATAAGGAAAAGATATGGTCAAACATTGGTTTACTCAGCCACATCGATGCATACTCAGAAAAACTAAATTCAAAGTTAGGTCTTTTAAGTGTGACGAGCTGAGAACCAGAAAGCATCATCCTGTTCTTGTTCACCTTCCCCAACTTATTTTCTCACTACTAGCTTTATTCTTCAGAATAAAACTTTTGCAAAGGGCTACTATTAGGATCCAAATACATTATCAGAAAGAACAACATGTCAACCCCTAACACACATGACCCTCTAGTCCATTAGTAATAGCTGTGCGGTTTTCATTAGATCAGCTCAGAATATAACATAGAATGGGACATTTTTGACAGAGATGGTATGGGTAGGGATGAAGGAAGCAAATCTGCCTAATGCTTCAAAGCAGTAAGGTAATATCTAAATTCCTTCAAAGAGAATCCAGTAGTAAACCATGATCCTTGGGAGGCTGCATTAGTTTTACATCTAATGCTGAGCCTGGGAAGCTCAGCATTCATTAATTTATACTCATGACCAACCTGGGTGGCCAGCTCCCTCCTCTTAGGGAATTATCGGACAGATAAGAGCCTCCTACAGACCCATCGTAAGTTAACTTCACAACTAGAGGCTTGCAGAAGATCACCTTTCTTGATAGTACCACACTTCTGTACCAAGCTGTTTGACACAATCCTATAAGAAATCAGAAATATCAAGCACTAAGGTAATTGATTAGCAGTAGAGGAGTTTATAGGGCATGAAGGGATTAAAAAAATGAGCAAATTCTTCCTCCCTTTTCAGGTCCCCATTTCTCTTAATTCCCCCAAAACAACACAAGAATAAAGATTGCACAACAACCTCTCTTCGAAATACCATTCTTTTTCTTATTTTTTTTTGTCCAATTCCACTGTTACCTTTCTTCTTCCATTGCCTATTTCCTTTCTTTACTCTTTTTGATGGTTGTTTTATTTTGGGGGGAGGGGAGGGAAGGAGGGAACACTCTACTGAAGACCCTTACCTTAGGTTATTTGGTATCGTTCCATCTTCCCACTTCCAGCCAGAATTGTTCCTCAGACCAATCCAGTAAAAGTGCTCATTGAAGAAATCTTTGAACAGGAGCTAAGGAAAGGTTGAAGAAGATGAAAAATGGTAAGACAGAAAACCAAAGAGGAGACCCAGTAGCATGGTCAAATAAGTATTCCTCATCCTTTCTCATCACCATTAATTATGGACTAAATGTATGTATTCCATCCAAATTTATATGTTAAAGCTCTTCCCCCCATTATCATGGTAGTTGGAGATGGGACCTTTGAGAGGTAGTAGGATTAGATGAGGTCATAAGGGTGGGGCCCTCATTAATGATGAGATTAGTGTCCTTATAAGAAGAGACCAGAGCTTAGTCTCTCTCTCCACCATGTGAGGACGCATGAGAAGGCATCTGTCTACAAGCCAGGAAGAAGGTTCTCACCAGAAACCAAATCTTTCTGCACTTTGATATTGGACTTCCAGCCTCCAAAACTGTAAGATAAATGTCTGTGGTTGAAGCCACCTAGGCTGTGGTATTTTGTCAGAGCAGTCCAAACTGACTAAGACAATCACCTACTCCAAATAAATAATCTCTCATTTAAATTCTGATTCTAAAGATTTGTTGGTGCAGAGAGGAGTTCTTCCTAGAATTGAACTTTAGGTCTATACTTGCATTCTCATAATGTGACAGATAAGATAAAAATTACGTCTCTAGTCTCTACCTTCCCCTGCAACTTCCTCTTTGATTGAAGGGAGTACCTGATAGGTATTCAGATAACTTTGAAAAAGAAAAAGCTGAGTTGTGGAAGCAGCTTTATCATTTAATACATGAATCATTATTACCAAGTCTGTAGCAATATGCTTGTTTTTTCCCCACTAAACTCCCATTTTCCAAGTCCTCCTCAATCTTGCATACGAGAAGAAAAAAAGTTCCTAAGGTAACATTAAATTGGCTACACCCTCCACATATACCATTCTATCACAAGAACAGAGATAAATCTTTGCTCTGTAGAGCCTGACATTCAAGGAATTTATATTCTAAGGGAATTGCCTCTATAAATGAAATCAAAGAATAAATCACATAATATTGTTATAGGATTTAGTGTTAGTGTAATGAATATATTTGACAATAAGTGAATTGTCACGTTGGACTTGAAAATGGCTTTTGTTTCAGTTTCATTAAGATGTTGAATTTTCAAAATGATGCTAATGTTGACAAGTATTGTGTTTGTTCATGAGCCAGGGAATAAAATTCTAAGTCTGAAGGCCAAAAAATTGATGGCAAAAATTGATGGTTTAAATATAAAATAAGAAGCTCGATGTCTGTATGTTTCAGAGTATGAAATACTACTCAAAAGTATTTGTATGTGCCTTAACAGATATCAAAGTCTCCGAGTTATATGCAGTAGACAAATATAGATAATTGCAGTAGCATTCATCCATACTGCCTGTGTGTGTTCACACTGTAGGATTAATAAGATAATTGCTTCATATCTTCTCTTCTTATTCTAACTCCCTGAAGTCACTGCAAATCCCGGTAAAGAAAATGGAAAATTGGAATCTTGTTTTTTAGTGTTTTTGCTTGGTTGCTTGGTTGGTTTGTTTTTTTATGGGTTAGAGTTTAATCTGATAAATGTTAAAGGAAAAGACCATAATTTGTTCCTGCGATCATATACTTTCTAAATAATCATTTATCTCGGTCTTCTTCCTGCATTAATACATTGAGATAATCGGACATTTCGTCTGGTGGTGGCCGTGACACAGAGAATCATATTCTCAAATTTAGTGAATGTGATTTAATCTCTTTCCTCCCTACATCAACTTTTTTTCCCCTGGAGGATTACAAATTCAACAAAAGTTAGTGACATATATTATCTCACAGTATTTTAGTGGTAGGACTTGGACCCAAATTCAAGGCCTCAGCCTGTAGTTTGAGGCAGTCCATCTCTCTGTAACTCAGTCCTCTCTTAAAACTGCAATTTCGGACCTCCCTGGTGGCACAGGGAGGTTAAAGACACAGCACTATCAAGCTGTTGCCAGCCACTGCAGCACAAGTTCAATCCCTGACCGGGGCAGGGAGCAACCCACATGGCACAGCAGACCTCTCCTGTCTCGCCCGCCGCTCCCCTCAGCAGTGTATTTCAGTAGATCTGCCTGTTCTGCTCCCCACTCTTTCTGGTGAATCCTCTCACCCCCTCTGCACCTCTGGTCTACACCCCATTTCTTGTATGCATAAATAAATAAATATTTAAAAAAAAAACCCGCAATTTTTTGTTTTTGAAAAAAAAAACTGAAAAAATCATAAGAAACATTTGGATGTGCCAAGAAATAGGCATATTCAGCAAGCTAAGAGACTACATCTTTTGATAAAACAGGTCAAGACAAGATGCCATCTTTTAAACATAACACTGGATTCCAGAATTAGTTACTTCTTTGGGCCTCTGTATCAGGGAGGGTCCTGATGAAGCCTCAGAACAGACTGATAAATGAATGCAGATATTCATTAAAGCTAAGACATCTTTCTTTTCATTACACCCAAGGTCAGATGTCCTAAAATCTGGGCATTTTTGTTAGAAAATGAAGACCCAAAATGATTGAGAGTATTCCTGTATTCCATTCAGGAATCTGGAAAACCTCCTCTAGAAGTTTTTGAAAATTAAAAAAATAAAAATAATCATTTTCTTCAAATTTCAGGAAAAAAATATTTTTAACTTCCTAATTTTGTTCTAAAGTTATACATTTTTGTTTATTTAAACATACTAATATTTTTCGTGATGACTTAATTAGTTGATTATCTTTAGAAAAAAAATAGTTCTTTTTATCCAGAACTACTTAAAAATGAGTGAAATTTCAATTCTCTATAATTACTGTGGTACCACCAGATGTCCCATTTCTATGTCATTGTTTTTATTCCACTCCAGACAGCTGGCTGTTGCAGAGTAAACATTCAAGGACTCTTCTCTTAATTGTGTCTGTGGACTAACTGCCTTTCGCCTACTTGGAGACTTTCACTGGCATGAATTAGGAGTTTCTCTTTCGAAGACAAAAGAGCATAAAAAGTCTCTTTGTACTCCCAGTAACGGCACTAAAAGAGGTTGTCTTAGTCTGTTTGGGCTGCTCTAACAAATTATCATAAACTGGGGGACTTAAATAATGGACTCTTATTTCTCTCAGTTCTAGAGACTGGAATATATTTCATGGGGTTCCACTCCCATGATCAAATTCTTTCTGAAAGACCCCCATCTCCAAGTACCATCATCATATTTATTTGTTTACTTAGTTGTCTGTCTCCACTGATTAAATGTAAGTATAATATAAAAACTCTTGTTATTACAGTATCCTTAACACCCAGGAAAATAGGTGAAATTATGCTCAATAATATTTATAGAATTAAAGAATAAAGTCAAGTCTTATACCGCAAGAGGATAAAATTTTTTAACACCAACTCTGAAGTTTTTACTTCACCACCATTGAGCACTTAATTGTATATGTTGAGAACAGAGGTAGACTCAAGAGTAAATGAAGGGTAAGATAAATGGAATGACATCCTTATATTCAGAATAGGTTGAAACCTTTCACACACTTCTTAACCAACTTGCTTAAAAGGATTATATAATTTAGGAAAATATCATTTTTCCTCATTTCTTCACTAGAATTATAAGGAAAACAATCCATTTCTTTCTCCTCTTATTTTTTTTTAAATTTATTATATTTATTTGTACATAAAAAAACTTGGGTGTAGGCATGGGGGTGAGAGGATTCACCAGAGACAGAGTGGGGAGCAGAACAGGCAGATTTACTAAAATACATTGATGGGGGAGCAGTGGACAAAGACAGGAGAGGTCTGCTGAAACATGTGGGTTAGCTCCCTGGCCGGGGATCAAACTCTTACTGCAGTGGCTGGCATTAGCTTAATAGAGCTGACTAAACCCCTGCACCACCAGGGAAGCCCTCTAACTCCTCTTCTTTTAAAGGGGAGGAATGACAGCTAATAGAGTACAGAAATGGGTAGAGACTTGCTCAAAAATCTCAGAGTGTAAGATGGTTTTAAATTAACATCCACTTGCACACTCCAATCTTGCACTTCCTGCACTCAAGACCCAGGCGATTCCCAGTCACAAATCAGGGCAGTGTACTACTTCTCACTGCAAGACTGGAGAGAAAATTTTACTATATCACTTTCACTTGGAAATTTTCTGGCTTGAAAGAAGCTTTGAAAACCAGAATGCAATTACCTATGCTCTATGTGTTCATGAATTGTGTATGTGTGCACACAACTATAGAAGCAGCATAAAAGTATGAACAGCATTTAAACTCAAAACTATTGTCCTCCCTCAAAAGGGTGTCAACTAAAACAATTAAGTGTTAAAGTGTGTAATGTCTGTTTTGACTTTTAGGAGGAAAAATATGAAACCTAAAACAAGATGAAGCAGAAACCAAAACAAAAACAGGTACATTTTATCTTCCCTTTTCCTTTTTTTTTTTTTAAGGTCAACATTTATACCTTATACACACACACAACACACTTTTGCAGGTAATATTTTTAAATGATAATTAAAATAGTACTAAGGCATGGAACACTCTTTAAACTTCCAAAATTAATATGCTCTATGGGATATGTCTAAGTTATCTCAACTCATATGGAAATAATAGGTTTATTATAATATGTCAAAGCTACTAGGTTGGTCATATCTTTTACTTGGCTAGCTTAATTTTAGGGGTTATACCTAAAGGAATGACCCTGAGATAAATACTTCAAATAAATATGTTTATAGCTGCCTAAACACTCTAAATAAGTAAAACTTTGTCTAGAATATGAAAATAATTAAGCAATACTAGGATATAGAATTTTTAAAAATACATAGACTAAGGTTTGACTAAAACAGAAATGAAATACTGCTATGTGAGAATAGCAGAACATAAACACACAAAATATAGGATAAATGTATTTTTAAATATTATATATTACAGTTTCAAGTAATATCACTGATATTTTTCTTCAATCTCCAGATATCTTTTCAGGTGAAATATTTAAAACAATCATGTGGTTATTAATTTGGAAAAAATGCAATGCAGAGCACCAATAAAGTCTAAAATTAATTGGATCTATTGCTTTAAATTTGTAAGTATTTCACCCAAAAATATGTCTGGAGTTTGAACAAAAGCACACTGAGCATATCACTTGCAAATACAACTAACCCGTATAAAAATAAGTTTATACTTTATTTCCAGATTTGGGGGCTTTTTCAGAGATATATCAGCATGCACAAGATGGATTCTGGAAGTCAACAAATCTAGTCTTTCTGGCATGACTTTAAAAGATGGGCAGATGTGGAGTTTAAAATTTGACTAAAAAAAAAAAAACTGGCTCTGCCAGAGTTGTAGCCTTGTGCCTGTCATTAACTCTTCTGAATTTTATTCACTCATTCATCCATAAAATAGATGTTGAACTCTACTTTGTAGGATATGCTATGAAGATTAAGAATGGCCTATGTACAATACCTGGTATACAGCAACTTGTCTAAGCTAGAGATGGATGATGTTTATGTATCTTACTGAAAAATAACTATCTAACAACATAAGGGGGGATATTTCTTATGCCTTGTTGCCTCTATAGAGCAACCTAATTCTCTAGCAGTATTCTCCACCAGTGGAATACCAGTTTGAAAACTTGTTTCAATAGATACATACACTCTTTTGGTCTCTATTCAGAGCTAAGCACAATACTAAAATACTGTAAAATAGGACCTATATCTTGCATTGAGAACAAAAGAAAACTGCAGTAATACATGAGGTTCAGCAAATTGGATATAAAACAAGTTGTTTCTACAGAACCGGACAAAAGCTAAGGCAGGGGGAAAAAGATGAGGCCACTGAATCAAGCAAGATTCCACAGAGGTAAAACATATCTGTGCTTGCTATTAAGTCAGGAATGTTTTGCCCTCTCCAGTATTCATTTGAACCAAGAGACACTGAGATTAAATAAACCAGTTTTGAAAATGTAGCCATTCTGTCTCTGTTTATCTTACTGGACAGTTAGAGGCAGGATTCAAGGAAAGTACAGGAAAAAAGAAAAAGAGAAAATCCATCTGGGGATGATGGAGAAAAAGAAAATCCCCACCTTCTGGATACTCTGTGTCTTGGTTCTTTTCTCCTCTTCTCTCATCATCGCACTGTTTGACTTACAGTAGCTACAACACCCCAGTTCCCTGTGACAGAGTTTTGCATTATGATTCACTATTCTGTTTTTCAGTATTTGTTCAGCTATGTTTCAAGTTCTTTGCTCACTTCTGCTACTGATTTCAGTCAGCATCATTCCCCAGAAGCAGCAATATCACTGTGAAAATAGTGTTGCTGTGATGAGGTACCCAGCCAGCCAGAGAGCTACCCACATGGCGCAGCAGACCTCTCCTCTCTCTCCCGCTGCTCCCCTCAGCAGTGTATTTCAGTCAATCCTCCTGTTCTGCTCCCCGCTCTGTCTCTGGTGAGTCCTCTCACCCCCTGCACCTCTGGCCTGTACCCCATTTCTTGTATGCATAAGTAAATCTTAAAAAAAAAATTTAAGTTTGCTTTAGAGTAATTACCTCTCTGAATTTCCCCAAAGGATGTTAATATAGTTGAATTCTTAATAAACTGTTCTCTGTTTTTCCTGAGGTTCAGCAAATCAGATATAAAACAGGTTGTTTCTACAGAACTGGACAAAAGCTAAGGCGGGGGGGATGATTCTGCATCCTCCCCAAATAGGAAGCAATATTTAAACTCAAAAACCAGCATGAAATTAGCACTAAAAAGCTAACAAGGATCTCTCATTTTCTTTGATTATGTTATTATTTATATTGATAAGTTAGAATCTGATTTATTTTTACAGCAGGTTACCCCAGGATGCCAACTCCTTGTATTACCTGGATAACTCTTCACTAGAGTATGCTGTATGGACAAGGAGAACCTGAGAGGCCTATAGGAAGTACAGTCCATCAGCTGAGCTCTGAGAGGAGTTTAAGACCTCTCATACATCTTTGCTCATGCTCTCTCTCTCTCTCTCTCTCTCTCTCTCTCTCTCTCTCTCTGTCACACACACACACACACACACACACACACAAACACGCGCACGTGCGCACATGCACACTTTCCTTGTTTCCCAATTTTCTGGAACTGCTTCCTCCTAACACTCTCCCATCTAGTGCTCCCGACCCCACCCCAATTGTTTCCTAGCCTAGAACTTGCTGGATTCCAGTAAATTAAGGGAAAATATTAAAAAGGCACTTTGAGGCTTACCACAGTCTCCCTGTCCCTGTGGTATCTATTTTTCCCTCCCCCCAGGTTCCACTGGCTCTTGTATAGGAACCTATAGTTGAACCCATGTCTCTGGATCTAATGCTTCCTTTAACTTGACCTGTATTTCAGGTCTAATTTCTCTCTGTAATATTCACCATCCTTCCTCCTCCAACACACATACACAGTTACATGCCTAGGAAAATATCAAGGTTTCTCTAACTGAGGGTTGTTGGGCTAGGCAGGGAAATTAAGGAGCAGGGAAGGAGAGAGAAGAAGACAGGATAAGAGAAGGAGGAAAGAAGGGAAAGAAAGGAGAGAGAAGGACAGGAAAAGGGAAGAATATCCCTTTTGTTCCTCAAAAGAGAATACATGATACATTTGAATGGCATTCACCAAGCTAACTTTTTTTTTTGTACTTACATTATCTGCCATTTCCTTGTCTGTAAGCACAAGCAGACTTGAGTTTTGGGCTATACAGAATTCCCGACTAGATGTCCAATTCATTTCCTTCACTGAGAAGTAGTAACAGTGATCACCGTACTTCATCCAGAGGTCTGGGCAGCTAACACAATGCTGTGAATCTGGAAAGGAATAGGACCTGGTTCACATCTTTATGAACCAATCTGCCTTGGAAATGAAATGGAATATAAAATGGAAACTGGCTGCCCCCAATAATTCCCCTGCCCCACCTTTTCAGAATAAGGTTTAGAGAAATGCATGGCCTCAGACTAAATCCCCCCCAGTGTCCAACTCCATCAACACAACAGTACATTACACTAAGCAAGGATGTACCTGTGACTGAAGGAGCAGGGAAGGAAATGGATACAATCTGGGTGAGGAGTGTGGAGAGATTGATTTCAACCTAGATGTTTATCAACAAAAGACCCTACAAGTATATTTAATATTTCTATAAAGTTAATATGCCGCTTCTACTTGCCTGTAGTAGATAGCTTTATGTTCCTGGGACATACACATTCCAGATACAATAACTGTGTCTGTATAAGTATCAGTGTACTATCTCTATAGGTTCAGTGCAAACACCATGTACTACATAAAATACATTGCTGAAATGAAGATTCTTTCAGAAAGCCAGCCTCAACCTAACACCCCATAATAGTACAGAGAAAAGGACAGAAACTATAAAGACTAAACTAAACTAGAATAAAAGTTTTTTTTAATCACACGTGATTGTTATCGCTGAAAACTGGGCAAAAGAACTTACTTTAGATGAAAAAAGATTTTTTGACAGAAGGGATGAGATACTAAAGCAAATAGTGAGACAATTTCACTGAGCTCTTAAATATAGAACATTCTTATTCCTTTAAAATGGTTGGATTGTACAATACTATGTAAAGAAATTTATAAAACACATACTGCAGAGCATTTGCCATACCAAAAGGAATCATATCAAAAGATTTTAGGGAAGAATTGGGTTTGAAGGAATGCTGAGAATCCACAGGACTCCCAAAAATTAAAATAAAATAAAATAAAATGGTTGGATTGTAATTCTATGAAAATGAAAGGGAACTGAATAAGCTTTTGAGGTCATTTCAGCCAGGATTCCAATTGTACTGATTTTCTACTTCCACAAAACATATTTGTTTATATAAACTCATTATATGCACAATTCCACAGTGGGCAAGTATGAGCCATTATTTCAACTGAGCACAAATGGAGATAGTTGCATTCTAGATTTGGGTGTTAAGAACGTGTTCTTTTTAAGGTAAAGATTAAAATAACTTTCTGTGGGAAGGCGTGGCATGGAACCTGGGGATTAAGCTACAAGTTTGACACCTTACAGATCTATGCTTTTTTACAAGTGAGATACAACACCCTGTGTGCTTGAGGTAGAGGTCCTTAAAATGCTAATGAATAAAGTCTGTATAACCTGTCATTAACAGTCACCCCCAGAAAACATAAACCTAAGTTAGGGCTTTGAATTGTGACATCATAAATGGAGGACCTTCTGGATCATCTTATTTAAGCATCTGAAACTAAATCTAGAAAAGCTTATTTTAGAAAATATGAACACTCTCTAAATGGAGAAAAAATTGGAATATGCTTAATTATGTTATATATTTATTACGCAAAAGTCATAAATATATAATAAATATCACAGTAGATGGGAAAATGTTTATGATGCAATAGGAAATTAAAAAGCAATATATAAAATTATGAGCAAACTATGATCAGAACTATATCCAGCCTTACTTTAAAAAATAATAAAGATGGGGGAGATTTTAGGTGACTGGATCTAGGTTCTATTAAAAGAACAAATACCTACATACAGGCATATTCTCAAAGGAATGTATACAAGTGGAAATTTATTTCATTGGGATCATTTTTCAAATTTTTCATTAGGTCACGTTGTTCTTATAACACTAAATGGATAACATGAAAGATTAATTTTGGTTTAAGTTAGCACTTACCCTGGCACGTAGTCCATTTGAACAGCAGCAGACACAAAAGAACGACATTCAGAAACCCCAGAGCTATTGCCAAATGGCATGCGAAAGGAAACCTGGAAAAAACTGCAAGAACAGAATCCAAAGTAAAATCCTGACTCAGAACAAAAGGTGCAGGAACAGAAAAGTTTGGGGAACAATATCTGGAGTCTTGAAGCCATTCATTCCAATGGGAACCGAGACCCAAACCCTGATGATCCCCTTCCTTGGTCTGTCAGGTAACCATATACATCTTTGTCAAGGACCATTCTAAAAAAAAAATACTTTTTTCTTTTGAAATTATGGCTTACATAGCCTCATGCTTTAGCAGAGTAATAATTAGCACAACCTCTCTTGAGGTCAATTTGGCAATGTCTCCCAAAAGTGCACAGGCATTTACCGTTTGACACAGCAATTTCTCACAGACTCACACATGTGCAAAATGTCATTCTTATAAGGCTATCCTTTTTTTTTTTAATTTATTTATTTTTATACAAGAACCGGTGCACAGGCCTGATGCATGGGAGGGTGAGAGGATTCACCAGAGTCAGAGGGGAACAGAGCAGGTAGGCTGAGGGAATACACTGCTGAGGGGAGCAGCAGGCGAGACAGGAGAGGTCTGCTTCACCATGTGGGATTCTCGCCCTGCAGCCGGCAGGGATCGAACTGGCGCTCCAGAGGCTGCAGACAGCTTCACAGTGCGGTGCTCAACCACCTGTGCCACCAGGACGGCCCCTTACAAGGATACTCATGGCAATAATCAGTATAGGAGAAAAAAGATTGATTTCAACCTAGATGTTTATCAACAAAAGACCCTACAAGTATATTTAATATTTCTGTAAAGTTAATATGCCGCTTCTAACAAAGGAATAAAGATAAGCCATGCTTTTTTTTTAACAGATAAAGAATAATTTTCAAGATATATAGTTAAGGGAAAGAAATATTCTGCAGAACAATATCTCTGAAAGTAGACACCCAAGAGTCTGATAACGTTTATCTCTGGGGATGAGAAATAGATCCCTGGGAGAAAAGATAGGAGACTTTTTTGCCTTATTTTCTTTTGTTCCTTTTGAATTTTGAACCATGAGATATATTACTTAATCAAAATGTAAATTTACACAATTTAAATGAAAATGAATAGTATTTATCTTAGAAGTGCTTTGTTAACTGTTGTTACTAGAAGAGGTAGGAATTTAAATTGATGTCATGAGCTAGTTGATGGGATACTACATGTTAGCTATGTTGTATACAATCTCCACCTAAGAATGCTATTCTTTTTTAATTTGGAAAATGGAAATTTTTTTATACAAACTTTTATTTCAAAATTGTAGCAGTCTCGTTGTTTGATGGCATAGGAATTAACATGTAAAGCATGTTAATTTAATATTTTAAGGTGATATATTTAAGTTTTAGTTTGACACTTTTATTTGGTAATGTGAATCAGGTTGGGTTTAATTCTGCTTCTACAGGCCTCACTTTCCTATTTGAAATTTAGGTAATTATCCCATAAATGTGTGTATCTATGAGGTATTCTGAATTTCTTAAAAGAAATTCATAGTGAGAGATACCTTTACAATGAGTTCTGCATGCTAAATATTTGAATTAACAAATCCAACACTAGCTTTCTAGTGACATATAAAATGCATTTGTACTATAGAAGAATATTGAATGAAATAAATTGATTATAGACATTATGATAATTGAAAAAAACTATAAAATAAATGCATTTATATAACCACAATCCAATAAATTAAGTGAAAAAATTTTTTAATAATAAATTTTATTTTTATATTCCCCATACAATTGCAACCCCCCCATTCTGACCCCAATCCCTCCCCTCCAGCCCCCCACCCCCCAAAAAGTGTCTCTGGTTCATAGTTTTTTGTTGATTTTGATTTTCTAAGTGAAATTTTTTTACTTAAAAAAATTTACTTCACTTTAAATATGTGCATGTAAGAAGTCACTTAGTGGAACACATGAGTCAGCATAAAAAGGCAAAAATAAATCAAATTAGTAATAGTGCTCTGTGGTGATTGCCATATTGCAACATTATTAGTGATTTTTTTAATATCTGTTCTCATAGTTCCCTATTTTCTCTAGTGAACATGTAGTACTTTTATAAAAAAAAAATTAATGTAATTTTAAATTTCTAGTTTCTCATTTCCAAGTAGACCATTCTGGAAAACTGGGATAAGGAAAACATTCTGGCAACAAATAAAAAATGTACCATGTACAGTGTATATAAACAAAAAGCCACTTGCCTGGAAATCAAAATAATTACATTCAAGTTCCAACTTATTTGTGTGACTTGCCCTTATATTTGAGAATATACATTCCTTTTGACTTAATATTTCTAATTTCCCTAGAAATCCGGACAGATAGAATCCAAAAGAAGGAAGAATATATACAAATAAACATACTCAGTGCTGTATAATATATAGTAATAAAAATAAATCTAAATATCCACGTAAATTGGAATTATTTAACAATTATAGTAATGCTTTCAAAGCACAACACTAAAAATTATAACATAAAACTATAGTGAAAAAAGAAAGTTTATAGAGCTTCACTAAAGAATATACCTTATGGAAATTTACTGTGTAAGGTATAAAATCACATAATAATTTTGGCACATACACTATGATCTACCTGCCACAAAAAGTATACTTTTACAACTACATGTAAAAATAGGGGGTTTTTATCCTCAAATTCCCAAAGATTCACAGGAACTTCTTGTCAGTAGTATTCGCGATACCTCCCTACATCTGTCACCATTCTGGCACAACTGTGTAATATACTATCCCAATATTTTATATGTAAGATTTTTTCTGACAAAATCTTACCATTACACGTTAGCAAAAGTATTGGTGTCCTTCTTATGTCATAGAAAGACATATATACAAGAATTTAAACAGCTGGTCCAAGGTTTTTCAAAATATTACTATAGATTTTTCCCAACAGAGTTCTGCTTTAGTTCAAGAGCAATACAGAATGATGAAACTGCCCTAGCTAGGTTGGGTTACATAGATGAGGTCATAGAAGCGAATGGTTAGAAAATTATTTACCTGAAATCTAAGATCAGATCCTTAACCAAAGACCAACTTTTCATATTCCAACCCAAACTCAAAACTAAACCCAAAGTATTTCTTCAAATTATTCTTGACTTCTCCGTATCCTCCACTCCCAAACTTAATCTACCACCCATTCATCCTTTAGACTATGATTATTATGCATTGTTTTCCATACTAACTGAGTTCACTCACCTTTTTGCTGCTGTCTGGTGTAATTCTCGTATTGGGGTTCAGTAGGTAAGTCTAATGTGGAATAAATAGTATTCTCTATCATCTCTAGCTAATATCTCTCACATTCAGTTGAGAGAGTTAAACATAGAAATATGAAGAGATATGCATCAATGAGGAAACAGCCCAATTTCAGCTGCTAGCAGGAAACTTGAAGGGTTGTTTAAAAAAAAAAAAGGTCCAGCATGACAAAAACAGAAATAATTTTTCAGGAAATGATTCAAATTCTAGGGTTGCCCAAAGAATTTAATATTCTAAATTGTGATTTTTTTTGTTTGCATCATCACACTCTTAGAATAGATAAAACTACCATGATAGAAAGGATAGAGATAGAAGAGAGGATAGACAGGATACAGAAAGGGCAGATTAACAAGATGATCATTAAGTAAATAGGAAACTGATTTCCTATTTCACCTAATTTTTTTGATCAAGGAAAAGTTGCTCTTAAGTCTAGCATTTCGATTACAGAAGCTGGATGGTTCCCAGATATGAATTTATCTCAGATTTTCTATTTGTTTTTTGTTTTCTTTTGAGAAAACAGATACATACCAGTGGGACAGATTTTTTTTTTTCCAACCTTTTGGTAATATGAGATAGAGAAATGGACTTTTGGCCACATGTCCTGGAATTATATGGACTGTTGCCCAGATATATGTTTTGTGAATATATATCTTCACAAAGATTGTGAATGTACCATGCCCCACTGTATCCCAACTGTGTTCTAAACTTTACCCTTCTCCACAAATTTCTCTCCTGTTCTCTTTTATGTGCAAAGGCAGCTATTAAGGGGAACAAATTAAATAAATACTAAGGTGTTAGAAATTTTTTTCTTTTTTTTTTTTTTTTTTTTTAAATTTTTTTTTTTTTTTTTATAGAGGCATGTTTTTATTTATTTGTTTGTTTGTTTGTACATGCACTGGGTACAGTCAGAAGTGCGGGAGGGTGAGAGAATTCACCAGAGCCAGAGCGGGGAGCAGAGCAGGCAGAAGGACCAAAGTACACTGCTGAGGGGAGCAGCGGGCGGCAGGAGAGGTCTGCGCGCCATGTGGGACCCTCCTCAGGTGGCTGGGGAGCAGCCGGGGATCGAACCGGCGCTGCAGAAGCCGCAGGCAGCTTCGCAACCCAGTGCTCAACCGCTGCGCCACCAGGGAGGCCAGAAATTTTTTTCTAATAGGTAAAAGGTTACTAAAAAGTTAAAGTAAGGAAAACAGAAAGGGATTTGAAACTCCTAGATAAGAGCACCAAGAAAGAAAGGATAAAGATAGAAGAAAGAATGGAGAAGGGAAACAGAAAGAGCAGATTAACAAAAACTAATTTAGTTCTGTTTCCAGCCATAACAGAACAGTACTGGACTTAATCTCCAGTCAAAAATCTATACATGAGGGCCTCCCCTGGTGGCACAGAGATTGAGCGCTGGGCTGCGAGCTGTCCACAGCCTCTGCAGTGCCGGCTCGATCCCCGGCCACTGGTGAGGGTCCCACATGGCGCGCAGACCTCTCCTGCCATGCCCACTGCTCCCCTCAGCAGTGTATTTCATCAGTCTGCTGGTTCTGCTCCCCGCTCTGGCTCTGGTGAATTCTCTCACCCTCCCGCACTTTTGACTGTACCCAGTGCTTGCATAAATAATAAAATCTTAAAAAAAAAAAATCTATACATGACAAATACATGGATAAGCCAGAACAACAGGCAGCACCATCAACCTGGGAGAACTGAAAACACCAAGGTGACTGCTATGCTCATCTTGGCATTCTTCCTAGGGTCACTTTTTAGCACAAAGCAGAAAAATGA